CTGATACCATTTGTAACACCCCCCCACTACCCAGCAAGATATTGTCCTCTTTGGCACGGGGTCACGGAAGGTTTGCCTACTAGACAAACTTTTCCATTATCCTTCCAAAAGAACATTACTTTAACCTTCCGGAAGGTTTTGCCCATTGGATTAGCATTTGCCTTAACCTTCTGGAAGGTTTTCATCGACCTTCCGGAAGGTTTTGCCTGTTTTTCTACAAATCCTTCCTTCTTCATTTCCAACCCATTCCAATCCGTTCCACAACCATCCCAAACTTATACCACATATATTTGTACATCAAACCTAGTTAGTACAAGTTCTATTACAATGATTTCATATATTTACAAACTAAAACTAAGTTTTAACTATTATTTACTTGAATTTTTTCATATTAACATTTCAAAAGAAATAATTACTTGCTATATAAACCTATATACATATATAAAGATAAAAGTGTGGGGTTTACACTATTCATCTAAGACAAAGTCCATATCTTGATTCTCTAATAGCTTGTAATCAACTTGCTCATCCACATAGACATCCTCTTCTATGCCAAAATTTGTAATGTGTTGTAGGGGGTGAGCAAAAGCCCGTAAGAAATCCTTCTCAAATCCCAACAAAATTTTTAGAACAATAAAAAGAAGGCAAGTCTCTTTTGGAAAATAGCATATATACATTTTGATAGTAAAACCATGATAGTTGTAATAATTTCAAGTGTATGGAATACAATAAATCAATGACAGGAATAAACATGCCTAACTTAAAACAATCAATTAATAACTTAATAGCATCATCTCATATTCTTCTGTATGTTGGTTCATCCTCATTCTCATGTATGTTGGTTCATCTCTATTCTCATGTATGTTGGTTGTTTCTCAGGAATCTACACAACAATTCTACCTTGTTTACACACCATAACCACGTAATCTCAATGATTCCCTACAGGGCCAAAAAATAAACCATTTTAAGAAGGGCGTATACCGTCTCTTTCAACCTTGACAAATCTTTCCAAACAAAGGTATACCATCCATCATCCTCGAACTTACGTGAACAATAATGATTGCTCTCACAAACAACAATCTACTCCAACTGTTAGGCAACCATCTCACCCCCACTGGGATAGACTAACCTTTAACACTCTACGTCAGCTCTCGAAGGCAATTCAAGTCTGTCACACCCAAACCATACAAGAGATGAGATTACAATTTTTTCAACAACCATAATCTTAACCAATCAAAATTTTCATTAACAATTTAAGTATCACAATTATGCAATTCTCAATATACTACAGTAATAAAAGAATTAAAATATGTAAGAGATCATATCAAGAAAATCTTCAAATTTCGATCTCAAAATTCTAGGGTTTTGCCAAAAAAAACATAATTTCTTGGAATAAGAATAAGTATTAGATAAAAACATGATTTAATCAAGAACATGAATTTAGAAATCAAGAATCCATGTATTTTTCATAACCAAACATGTATTTAGCAAAACTAGAATTTTTGAAATTCAAGAACAAATATTCTTTAAACCTAAACAAGTATTTTGTTCAAAACTATGTTTCAATGATAAAGAAATCAATAACTCATAAATATTTATCATATAACTATTATTAAGATTGAAAACATACGTATATAATACTCTAAGTTTCAATGAAAGAACTTAAAAAGAATTCCCTACCTTAATTCTGTAGGTTGTGATGCAAATCTTAGCGTGCTCTATCCGTCCTCTAGGAAAAATCCCTTGAAGTAGTGTCCTCTCTCCTTTTTTCTCACCCTCTAGGGTTTTCCGTGATGAAAAACTAATGAAACTTAGTCTAAGGGTTGTTCCCTAAGTATTTATAGTGAAAAATTCGAGAGAACATCCAAAGCAGGTCAAGGACGTGAAACCCTCTATTCGGTGCGTCCTGGCGCGTGTCTTTTATTATCTGGATGTGTGTTTCTTCGCCTAACTTTTTACCAAGTGCGTCCAAACACGTGTCTATTCCCGTCAGGACGCGGGTGATAGTATACCCCCCCCAATTCTAGCTCGATTTTGACCTATTTAGGAGCCAATTTAGAAAATTTTTATGAAATACACTTTTGTAGCCTTTGAAGTCTAGTTTCTATTATTCAAGAATTAGCTCAACCAGAAGTTATGAGTAAAAAGTTATGGCCAAAATACTAGGGTAATGTCAAATTCATTCCTATTCGAATTCTTTCGAAAATGCATTTTAACTTCCAGTTACTTCATAACTTCTAATACACCATATATTACATCTTCCAAAGTTCCTTAACCTTCTGGATTTAATGGAAACTTTATTTTGACCTAAAAATATTTACAAAATTACTTAGCCATATTTTTCAATCTAAACATCTCCAAAACTCCATTTATCTCAACGTAAATACATGCAAAACTTAAACTTTATAGTCAATCTTTCAACTATGATTCTAAATTTCTACCATCCTTTTATTCATTTTAGGAGAATTTTTAAGATAATATTATTCTTCTTTATAATTTTATTCATGTGGAGAGAGCTTACAATTATAGACACAAAGCCTTAGGTGAGGCGGTGACGTGATGGGTAGAGTACTAGTTTATAGGAGATGATAATTATAACTAGGATAGGTATAATTAGAGATAGTCTCGATCTTTGAGAGCAGCTATCTCAGAAATTACTCCTCAGGTGCTCTAATTTCCTTGGACTCCTTGAACTTTGGACTAGACTGGATCGATGAATTGGGCCTGACCCGCTTCGTTGCGAGTTTGGGCTTAACTAATTGGTTGGGCTGACCTAGTTGGATTTTGGCTCATTAGAATTTGTTCTATTTAATTCATACTATAAATTTGTCATTAAATATTTGTTCTTCTTAATTAATTGTTTTTGTTGGTCTAATTGTGGATGCTTTGACACGATTTTATTTTTGTTAAATGTTGTGTGTCGAATGTGTATTATTATTTTCAGTACTTCTTTATTCGAAGTTTACAGATTTGACAAAAAAATTTTTTATTGTTAAATGTTATGTATTAAATGTGCTATTGCTATATCCGGTAATTCTTTACTCAAACATTTGTATGATTTTATAGATGAGAAAATTTTTAAATGTTAAATTTTTTTTTTTCAGGTTGTAGACATTCAAAGCCAAGTTAATCACAAAAAAAAAAAATTCAAAATCAAGCCAATCACCAATAAAAAAAATAACAAGTGATACCAATTGCATCAAAAAACCAAAAAAATTCAAAGTCAAGCGAATTGCCAATAAAAAATAACAAACCAATAAAAAAAATAAGTGAAACCAATTGCACAAAAAAAAAAACATTATTCAAAACCAACTATAAAATTTTATAGACATTCAACCCAAGCTAATCACCAATAAAAAAAATAACAAAACCAAATATTTGAATAATTTTATAGAATGAGAAAATATTTGAATGCAATTTTTTTTCCTAGGTTGTAGCCATTAAAACCTAAGCTAATCACCAATAAAAAACAAATGAAATCAGTTGCCCAAAAAAAATAAAAAAAATTCAAAACCAAACTAATCACCAATAAATAAATAAAAGCAAGTGAAACCAATTGCACTAAAAAAATAAAAATATTCAAAACCAAACTAGTCACAAATAAAAAAAAAAACAAGAGATACCAATTGCACCTAAAAAAAAAAAAAAATTCAAAATCAAGCTAATCACCGAAAATAAATAAAAAAAAATGAAACCAATTGTACTAAAAAAGTAAAAATATTCAAAATCAAGCTAATCACCAATAGAAAAATAACAAGTGATATACCAATTGCACCTAAATAACAAAAAACAAAAATCAAAGTCAAGCTAATCACTAATAAAAAAATAACAAACGATTGAGTTTATAATTATATTGTGTTATTAGGTTGAGTGGTCACAATGGTGAAAAATTCATACATCTTATAAATGAGAAAGATTTTATTTGTTGTTTAAAAATTATAAATTTTATTAGGTTCCGTTAGTATTTGTTTTTTTTTTCGAGGTATTTGTATATATAGTATTGTTTTGGAAATTTTTTTGTACATTTTTGTGATAGTTTTATTAATATGGATTCTATTAACATATATGATATGATTAACATTATATTTCGAGTTATTTTAAAAGAATTGATATGAATGTTTTCGGGTCATCTTTTTGAAGTTGGACAATTACTAGCCATTTTTTGTGTGTTATATAGTGTCGTAGGCACTGACAATGACTAGTAGATAGATATGAAAGAGAGATAATTTTAATGTTAGTTAAATTTCTAAAATTTAGGAATTGTTAGTTTTTAAATTTATTTTAATTAAACATAACTATTAGAGATATTTTAGACGATATAGATCAAAATTGACTTAATATTAAATTTTTTTTTTATGATCTTATCACTAAATAAGTTCACAAAAGAGAACTAATCTCTAAATTTTCCAATATAATATGAAAAATATGGACTTTAACTAGCGTGCTTTACATGTGGAATTCTCAGCAGTAATCAGTTGAATATCACAAGTCATCTCAGAAGCTCATATGCACAAAATTGATGACGCAAAAAGGTTTATTAACGATACTTCACCCATTGTTAGCCGGTTCGTTAATGAGCAAAGAGAAGACTACGCAAAAATCGGTTCAAACTCAAATTCGGGTCTAAAATGCTATCCAATCCGAATTTTGCTCAAACGTAGACAGATCTCGGTTAAGTAATTTTCTGGGCCACATAAACGAACTTGGACCCAAGTCAGCCCATTTGGAGGCCCTACTAGTGCTGCAAAAAAACCCCAAATGGGCACAGAAGTATATTTTTTAGATAGACAAAATTTAATTCGTCATTCCCTTCACAAAAAAGAACTCTATTGCTTCCTTGATAGAGAGGAGAGACAGAGAGAGCGAGCAAGAAGTATAAGAAACCCTAACCCTCCCTCTTCTGTGAAAACCTAATTCGGTATAGGGATCGAATAAGTGAGTGGTTGATTGTTGTGTGCGTGTGTGTGTGTGTGTGAGAGAGAGAGAGAGAGTATATAGCGATGGGGAAGAAGAAGAAGAGGGCATCGTCGAAGATGTGGTGCTATTACTGCGACAGAGAGTTCGAGGATGAGAAGATATTGGTGCAGCATCAGAAGGCCAAGCACTTCAAGTGCCATGTATGCCACAAGAAGCTCTCCACCGCCGGTGGCATGGTCATTCACGTCCTCCAGGTTCACAAAGAGACCGTCAACAAGTCTGTATTTTTCCGTCTCTCTCCCCCTCTATATACATACAAACAACATACTGAAATTTGCATGTCCAGTTTGCTAGGTTTCTGATATTTCTATTTGTTTTCGCGAGAGAGAATAATTTTGAATCGTATTTTCGTGGAAAATGTGGTTTTTACCTGATATTGTGAAATGGGTCCTCAGAAAAGGTGGGGAAAGAACACATGAAATTTGGGAGCAATTCGCTTCGGTTGACTTTGGGAAAATCATCCAGGTAGTTCGCCGGATCTAGTGTTTGTGTTTTTTTTCCTCCTTGGAAAGTATTTCTGCCGAGATATATCTGTCAGAGTGTTAAGCCAACATGTGTGAGGTTGTTGGTTGGGTCTGCACCCATTCCTTCCTCTCAACAACCTTGAGTAACGAGGGCCAAACTACATTGATGTATCCCAGCAAGTTTCTGAGTTCTTCATGGCAAACTTGTTAGAAACTCAGACATGAGTTTTTGAGCTTGGACTGATCTTAGTGCCCAATTTAGAGGCCCAATTCTTCTTCTTTCAGGCTTTTAGATATGAAAATCTTGTTTTGAGCTTGATCTTCATTTCCAAATTGGGATTATTTCTTGTTGCCACACATTGGCTGTAGATGTAAGGTCGAGGTGGTGCTAAAATTTGGCCTTATTAGCTTCCAATTCTGACCATGGTGATCGGAGGGCTGGGTGGAGCAGGGGTTTGCTACCCACACGCCTTGATGAGAGAGTGAGGTTGGAGGAAACCGAGAAAATGGAAGCCAACTTGTTGTTAGCTACAGATTAGGTGCGGATGGAGTTAGAACAAGCAGTTGGTTTTGAAATGTGTGTAGAAGATGAAGATGCCGGATTACCTTGTGGAGATCATGTCAACTAGGTTTGGCTTTAGAGAAGTAGGCGATCGGACACCTTAGTTGTAGTCAGCTTTCTTCTTTTTGTTTTTTTTGGTTTTTTGGGGGAGGGGGCGCTTATCTGCCATGAAGTGGTTTGGGTGCCAAATCTTGAATGACCACATCTGACATGTGGCCACTGCATTTGAATTTATGGGATAGTGATTTGACACATACAATATCGAGTAAAAAAATTGTAAATGAACAGCCAGAACTGTAGCTTCAATTTGACCCTTCTGCACTTGGCATACCAGATAATCCTTGATGCACTCTTCAGTGGCACACCTAATCCACACTTTTGTGTGTAGTAGTAATCAGTAATCACTCAAATGGGTTCAACCCAATGGCATGATTGGACATGGTAAGAAACATACTAGGGATGACATTCTGAAATTTTTCTATTTTTGCCACTTTATGGGTTAGTTGGTTGGAAAGGAAGGCTAGAGTTTTTGAAGATACGTTTGAGGTTGTGGAAGGATTAGGGGATTGGTTTGTTTTTGTTAGCTTCTCTCTGGACTTCGTTCACAAAAGATTTTGAAAAAATCCATCGCTTTTGTATTCTGGTAGGATGGGGAGTGATTCCTTAAAGAACTACCCTCACAAATGAGTGTAATGAAAAATATACCCTATTATTGACATGAACACTTGCAACAATTGCATGACGGAAGGCTTACTGAAAGTTTCCTTGTCTCTTGACTCTAATAGAAACAAATGGTAAGCTCTCTGTAGGATTGTGATTGTTCTCTTTCTTCTGTAAAAAGGTTTGAAATCCTATCCATTGAAGTGGGGAAGCACACCATTTTACTGTCGGAATCGTGCTATCTATACTAAACTGATGTTGGAAGGCAGTTGTGTTTTGTTGATCAAGCGTGAGAGGGAATCATTCCTTCCTGCTCGTCTTGAGTCGAAACCCACTAAGTGGAAGCCGGGGCTGATTGAATTCAATTCTAGTGAGATTAGTCCTTTGTTTTAACCAACGTGTGTTGCCCTACTTAATTTTTATTATGCATTGTTTACTTATCAATAAAATATAGCGTTTTTTATTTAGAAAAACTGCTCAATTGGGTCTCTATACCTATTCTCCAGGGTAGCCAGAGATATATCATTGTTTTGTTGAGTACGTGTGATGAGCTCTTCTTCTATGAGATTTACTCTTGTAGCTCATACTTGGTTTCTTTGGCATACTTCGCAAGTTATTGCACTATCCAAATTTTGATGAATGAAACCAATTTTTTACAGATAGGAAAAAAGAATGCTTGGCCTCTCCCCTCCCAATCTCTCTCTAAACTCAATTGTACTTTTCTAACATAGATTTCAGCTTCTATGAGGGAGGTCATGCCTAAGGAATTTTCAGTCAAACTCCCCTGCTACATTACAATACCTGCCTTTGGTTATTTAGCGGAATTGAAGATCAGTGATTACCGGAAACTAAGTTTGGTTATGTTTTTGATCTTCTCTGAGTTATAATAATACTTTTGGTTGAATATTCTTAAATTGCATTTTGTTTTGGGATTTCTTCCAGACTGGTATACTTCTGAAAGCAGATAGTTCTACGTACACCAAGATTATGACATTGCCTTCTCGCTACTCCCAAATTATTTAAAAGCTTCAGTAATCTAAATTAGGTACTGAATAGAGTGTTATGAGATCAGAAATTAGAAAATACTGAGAAAATACAAAGTGGTATAGCAGCATACTGGGTTGGTCAGTCATTTTTTCATGTTGTCTGATAGGTTATACAATCTATGTTTTAGATTTCTTTTTACAGTTGATCTTTGTATGAAAAATACTTATTAGCTTCACTCGCCTGTTTCTTCAAGCTGTTGTGCTGATTGTTTGTGCTTCTATACTATTAGGCCACTGGGCTAAATGAAATTTTTGCTACAGGGGTGCCAAATGCAAAACCTGGTAGAGAAT